CATCCTCAATCCCTTCCTTTGTGGTGTCACCCCGTGTGTGTCCGCCGGGGCATTTGTTTGGTACTGGCACGTGATGGAGACTAGTAAGCCCCCTCGCTCACGTTCTTTGTCATTCCAAATTGGGCCAGCACAGATAGTAATGTCAATTGATATAGTGCACTGCACAGACAGAGAGAGAACCATGGCTAGAATATGCAAACTGACCAATTATTTCTCAACGCCGATTAATTGTGTTTCAATTTTGTATAGATTCCAAGGATATAATGGGTCAGTTTTTTTCTTATTTTAATAAAAAGTAATTAAAAGTTTGGTGTAATTACAGTCGTATGGTTTGAATATACTCCTTGTTCCTATAAAAGACAAGAATATACTCGGTTTTTTTTTTTTTCAAATTTGACTACTTGATCTTTTAGTATTTTAATTTTCAAAATTAATAGCTTATTTATTTCCTTTTATTTATACCAATTTAATAATTTTTATAGTTTGAAATTAATTTATTCAAAGGGAAATAACATGTTGCTCTCTATAGGTCTTGACCCCTATATGTTTAGGTACATGAATTTACCTACATTTTTTCATAGCAACCTATGCCTCTAGGTACGTAGGTAAATTAATATACAACAAACTAAGGTAAATCCTTAGCAAAAAAATATATATGGATAAATAATTTACCTATACGCATTTATAGGTATATTGTTAAATAATTTACCTATACTTATTTATAGGTATATATTATATATATTGTAGGTATATTGAACCTCGCACATTTATAGGTATATTTCAAAATTAATTATACTTATAATACAAAAAAGGTAAAGTATTGTTCTTTAAAATTGGCACATTTTGTAACAATAATATTAATACGAAATATACCCCCAAAAAAAAAAAACTTAAAGTACCTATTTTCTGGCCCAATTTTTGTGTGCGTAAAAAGTGTACCTATATATATATACCTATATTTTCTATAAATTATTGTGTACCTATATTTTCTATAAATTATTTTTTATAGGTACATTATTTGGATATGTAATTTACATAGAGTAATGCTATTTGGACACACAACATTGACACACTTAGTTGACACCCGCTGATGTGTCAATGTATTATTCGTTGAACAGAAAACGAGGAGAAAAGAAGAGCAAATGATATATTGACACATCAGCGGGTGTCACTAAGTGTGTCAATGTTGTGTGTCCAAATAGCATTACTCATTTACATATATGTTTTTTGGTTTGCAATTTTAAGGGGCGATGTGTTAGAGGAAATGGAAACCAAAAAAAATGGGGTGATTGATATGCTATTAATAGGGAGTATTAATTATAATTATAGCAGTTAATGAAATGCTTGAAATAAATTATAAATTGAATATTAAGGTAGTTCACATATACTGTAATTTAGTTAATAATATTAGGACAAATCTATCTTACATGGAGACAATAGGGTGTTTGTTTATGACTTATTCATATTATAGATTAGGCATAATTCATCTTGCAAAGGACGCGAGAAACTTATACCTGGCTAACGTTGTTTACATGATGACTCTCAGCGTGTAAGGGATTGTGAGGGATTTACAACTACAGGGTTAAAATTAATAAAATTGAAATTATGGGGACCAAAAAATAACTTCCTCCTTTATTTATTGTATGTGATTGTATTTGATTTTTATATGAGATTGTAAGGATATGTATTGTAAGATGAACAACGGGCTGCAGTATTTTATGCAAAAAATTATGGACTCACGGCACACTACGATATGCTGAAGACGGTCAATGCAGTAACTGAAGCATATGTTACAAACCAGAACTCAGTTTTCTTGTATGAAAGGATGGTAGATTTACCTTGTACACACTTCCCTGTCCTCCCTTGGCGATGCAATATAGAGGACATCGAAACCATTGGTTGATTTCATGATTTCTCCATACATTTTTCTTCAGTCAAAATTAGATACTGAAAAGATAAAAAAGTCTGGAATTGACTCATCGAATTCGC